GGACCTGGACCAGAACGGACGCATACTGGACAAAGAAGAGCCGATCGATCCCTCCGTCTGGGCTACGAAAGCTATCGACGCAATCGCCCCTGAACTTGCAGCAAACCACGAATGGACCAGGGAGTTCATCGATGCGTCCTCGCTCCATACAGAGTTCTTGAAAGCGCTCAGTCACGTAGCCGCCGACCATAGCAGGCGCCACAACACCATCATTGACAACGCGGAACTGGGCAATTTCGGGTCTAAATACTTCAGCAAGGACGGCAGACTGATGCTGTACCATTCAAACGCCCGAACAACCCAACACGGCATGCGCGCAGCGGAAGATTTGCCGCTCGTCGTTATCTATGACGTGGAAGCAGGCAAAGAGATGCACCGCCTTACTGGACACACGGATGCCATCATGTGGTCGGCTATGAGCCCGAACATGGAGTGTGTTGCTACCGTGTCTTGGGATGGCTCGCTACGCATGTATTCCGTTTCGACTGGGGCTCTCATTTGGGCTACAGACAAATCAGGTGGGCAGAGTTGGGCCGGCGCATTCTCGTAAGCACTACTCCGGTACATACTACACGTAAGACATATGCTAACTTAGTTCACCAACTTATAGGCCAGATTCACAGCTCATCGTCTGGAGCACTAACAGCGGCTCAGTGGTGCAGGTTCACGATGTCTCAGACGGTCGAAAGGTAGCAGCTATGCCAGAGAAATTTTCCCGCTGGTGCCGGTGCTTTGACTGGCATCCAACGCGGTCGGAGATTGCGCTTTGCGCTGGTAAAGAAGCATACGTCTGGAACCCCTTGGATGGTCCCAATGGCAAGATACTTCAGCATTTCAACATCGAGGGCAACGCACGACTGAGTATGGTTGAGATCCAGTCTGTTCTATGGATGAACGAAGGTCGATTACTGGGTATCGAGTCGGACGAAGGATCAACCCTGATCTATGACACCGAAAGCAACGCGAAAGAGCTGTTTCGGCGACCTGCTGGCACGATGGCTAATTATATTACGGGCAGTCTATGCGGTATATTCCGAGACAAGGAAGAACAGGATGTATACCTCAGCGTCGACGGCGATGGAACTGCGCGGTTCTGGCGGACGAGTGTCCCAGCCGTACCATCGTGGTGGGACAAAGAACCGATCCCAGTTGTTACAATGAAAGCATTCCCCGAGACGGGAAAGTATGTCAAAATCACGAAGGCATCGGGCAAAGCAGCTTTAGAGCACGAAGCCGCTAAAGAGAGTTAGGGTGAAAATGGTGCGGCGTTGTGGACCGCTGAGTATAGTCCTACGCCAGTGGACAAACGATACCTCGGCTTTGAGATTGTCCCGGCTGGCATGGAGGATTGGTATCATGTTCAGTGTTGCGATAGTGTTTTGATCGCTGGTCATGGTAATTCACCCCACCCTTCCCGCTCCTTGCTTTTTTTCGCCAGTCTGACTGCATCACCCAATATTTCACACGTACCAATGACAGCCAAGAACAAATTGACACTTCACGATACCCAACACCTTCTGCAGGGCTGCAGCACTGGGCATACCCGGGATGGGGGAACCGGTAGCGAGTCTTGGTCACAATTAATGTCAGTGGCTGTGGATACAACGGATATCGGCGCCGGCACGGTATACCCTTCCTTGTCACCCGTGATCACACAATCTTGCGAGCAGCTGACGCACTGCTTTCGGCACATCGGCGCATACGCCACCATACACTTTCCGTTATCTTCGCCGCTGTCCCACACTAATCGGTTGCTCGGATTGCGCAATCCGGATCGTGTGCGCATATTGACGATGCGAAGATCGTTGAGTTTTCGACATGTTGGGACTCGCAGTATTGCCTCACGGCTGGCTAAAGGCGTTGCGGTCCGGGCAACCGTCTCCGCGCTTACGTTGTACCCTTTCAGGCTGAACCCCACACCGCCATTCGCTTAGCCCCACGCGGTGCGGCTTATTGTGCTGTGTACCTTATATGAACCATGGAGGAACAGATGACTGACGTGCGAAAATCCCTCGTCGTCCTTTTTACGATTTGCACGCTGGTCGGACTTTCGTTTTCAAGGTCATCCTAAGCTTGCGCTCTTGCTGCTTCTTCTCATAGGAGTATCGACGACCTTCGTTTGCCTTGCTAGCAATCTTGTCCACGAGCATCGAGTTTGACACTCCCGCTGTAGACTAAATCAGCAGAAACGCTAAGACTTTGTGCCTGGTCACGCGTTTTGATTCCGCATTGGTCCCGCGTTCCAATTGACTTGTGCAGTGTCACTAAACACAGTAAGCTACGCCTCCTAAGCCATGTCGGCCGTCACGTCCCTGTATAACCAACCATCCCGTCGTGGTATAAAAGTTTCCCGCGGAGATCACAGGTACTATCCTTGTTCACATTCCCACCATGATACAACCTACCCAAAATGGCGAGCGCTATGAGCTCACAAGCCCCACGGAGATGCCCAAAGCGGGTGCATTCCTTTGGAACCAACGTATGATGATTCAGGTCACATGTCGTGGTTTTGCAACTGCACAGTACATGCAACCCGAGCCCGCGAAATATGCCTACGCGCCCAACCTCGAAGCGAAGACTTTTATGCAACCAGAGCAAAACTACTATGCTCACCACCCGGGCCGGTTCGTATACATCAAGGATGAGGAAAACGGCGAGGTCTTCTCGGCGCCGTATGAGCCGGTAAGGGCCAAGTTGGATCGCTTTACCTTCGATGTAGGCAAAAGCGACATCAAATGGCTTGTGGAGAAGTCAGGCATTCGTGTCGAGATGACCTTCTTACTACCCACCGACGATGTGGCTGAACTCTGGAGCATCAAAGTGACCAACATCTCAGGTCGCAAGCGCAATCTGAGTATCTACCCTTACTTCCCATTGGGTTACATGTCATGGATGAACCAAGAGGCGGAGTGGAATACGAACGTTGGGGGCGTGGTTGGGAGCTGTAAGACTCCGTATCAGAAAGCGGAAGACTACCCAAAGACCAAGTATCTCAAGGACAAGACCTACTTCCTCTGTGAAACCACACCAGTCTCGTGGGAAGCGAAGCAAGAAGCTTTCGAAGGCGAAGGAGGCCTACAAGCGCCATCAGCACTGAAAGAGTCACAGCTTTCGAATAGCGACGCCCGTTACGAAACCCCGACCGCAGTCGTTCAATATTGGGCTGATCTAGGCGAGAACGAAAGCAAAGAGTACAGATTCCTATTCGGTCCCGCATACGACGAAGCTGAGATACTCGACATGCGCAAGAAGTACCTGAACAAGATGGCGTTCGCGAAAGCCGCCAAAGACTACGAAGACTACATCCAGCGTGGCAGCGGTTGCGTACGTCTCGAGACTCCGGACAAAGATCTCGATAACTTGGTCAACAACTGGCTGCCCCGACAATTGTACTACCACGGCGACGTAAACAGACTTACGACCGATCCGCAAACGCGAAACTACCTCCAAGACAACATGGGCATGAGCTTCATCAAGCCAGAAGTAGCGCGCAAAGCCATCACCACAGCGGTTGGCCAGCAGGAGAAGAACGGCTCCATGCCAGATGGTATCCTTCTAGCCAAGGGAGCGGTGCTCAAGTACATCAACCAAATCCCTCACACCGACCACTGCGTCTGGCTGCCCATCGCCCTGGAGATCTACCTGAGCGAGACCGGCGACTATGCGCTGCTAGACGAGAAAGTCACCAGCATGTACGGCGACACATTCACAGTCTTCGAGCGCTTCAGCCGCGCCATGGACTGGCTGCTCTCCTCAAACGCACGAGACGACCGCGGACTTTCCTACATCGCGCAGGGCGACTGGTGCGACCCGATGAACATGGTCGGCCCCAAAGGCGTCGGCGTATCAGGCTGGCTAACCGTCGCAACCGCCTACGCCGTGAACCTGTGGGCGCAAATCTGCGAAGACGCCGACAAACCCGACGTCGCGAAGAAATACCGCACCGGCGCCGAACAAGTCAACGAATCAGCTAACGAACACCTCTGGGACGGCGACTGGTTTGCCCGCGGCATCACAGACGACAACGTAACCTTCGGCATCAAAGACGACAAAGAAGGTCGTATCTGGCTGAACCCGCAAGCCTGGTCCATTCTCGGCGGCGCAGCCTCCTCAGAGCAAATCTCAAAGATCCTTCCCCAGGTCGACGAGCAACTCACAACGCCCTACGGCGTCGTCATGTTCGGCCCGCCCTTCACCGCCATGCGCGAAGACGTCGGTCGCGTAACGCAGAAGTACCCTGGTCAAGGCGAGAACGGCTCCGTGTACAACCACGCCGCTGCCTTTTACGCCTGGGCCCTTTACGGCATCGATGAAGTGGACCGCGCGTACGCTACGCTCCGCGCTATGATCCCGGGCCCTGATGAAGAGGATTTGATTCGGAGGGGCCAACTCCCCATTTTCATTCCCAACTACTACCGTGGCGGGTATGGAATTAAGCATCTTGACCGCACGGCTGGTCGCTCGAGTCAGTTGTTCAATACTGGGACTGTGAGTTGGGTGTATAGATGTTTCATTGAAGGGCTGTGTGGGTTGAGGGGTGTAAGGGAGGGTCTGAAGATCGCGCCGAAGATGCCGAGTGATTGGGATGAGATGAAGGTGAGGAGGGAGTTTAGGGGTGCGGTGTTTGATGTTCAGATTAAGAGGGGGGATGTTAGGGATGTCAAGGTTGTGGTTGATGGGGAGGAGGTGGAGGGATGCGTTGTCAAGAATGTTATGGCTGGGAAGACGTATAAGGTGCTTGTTGAGGTGCCGAAGGCGAAGAAGAATGCGGTGAATGGGACGAGGTCGAATGGGATTAGAACGAATGGAGGACTGACGAATGGGTCGGCGACGAACGGGAATGGTATTAACGGGACGAAGTAGAGGTAGCATAGCACATGCGAGAATTTGAAGGTTTTGTTATTTGAGGCTACTTCCATCGCGTATTTGCTCAGGAGTTCTCCCCAAGGCTAGACATGATGCCATATTTCCATCTCGACGTAGAAACATCATCTACCGCCCTAACGCAAAAAGAACATTCCAACACTATTCCTCCACGTGCTCTCCGCAACTTCCTCAACAGCAACACCCTTAATCCCCGCAACAACCAGCGCCACCTTCTCCACATTGCAACTCTCATTCCTCTCCTTGACCATATCGCCCATAGTGAACTTATCTTTCTTCTTACTTCCCCAGGACCACTTTGTCGTTTTCTTCAAATACGCCTTTGCTACGTCACTAGACGCTTGAATATCGCCCCAAGGGGCATCCGTTTCAATCTGCAGCTTATCCAACGGTACATGCCTGATCATATCCAAGCTATCGCGGTCTCTGATAGCAAAGTTGTTGACGCTAAGATGTAGGCCCATACCGATCAAACTCTGCATCTGCGCTGTGGTACCGACGAAAGAGTGGACTAGGCCGGATCGTAAAGGCAGCCGGTCCATGTAAGGTTCAAGTATAGCAACGAAATCCTCGAACGCGGCGCGACAGTGAAGAAAGAGGGGTAGTTTCCATCCCGCGCTCACAATCATATCGAGCTGGCGCTTGAACACGCGTATCTGAACGTCTTTTGGGGCTTCGGCCAGCTTGTCGTAGTCGAGGCCGAGCTCTCCGAAAGCGGCTAGGAGGTGGGGCTCTTCAATCATGGTCGTCGTGATGCTATCGGACAGGCCCTTGTAGTATTCTTCTCCGCCCTCATCAGCTTCGACGGCATGGTATGGGTGAACACCGATTGTGACTCTGCATTGCTCGGGCCGATGTCGCGCTATGTCGAGGTTGAAAGACGCGTCAGATGCGTACATGCCTGTCAGCATGATTTTCTCTACTCCGGCGGCCAGTGCGCGGTCGAGCACGGCATCGAAGTCAGGCTCATGGTATTGTTTGCCCCGGTAGATGCCGGCGAACTCTTTGGCGGTTGCGGTTATGGCGACCTGGATACATCGACGTGTTGGTTCAGTCAAGTCGCGTCAACACGGGGATGGGTGGGCGCGTACGTCTGCGTACCGGAGTTTCGTAGAAGGCGCAGAGGGTGCTTCACCGGGAAACCCCTCTAGTAGCGTCGGGGTTGACATTGTATGTCTAGATGGAGGAATGTGATCTGTGCAGCATCGAGGCGATATGTGTTCGCGAGGTGCGTTACTTTCGGAAGTAACACTTCCGATCTCGGAATCGTATTGGTCACGTGCAGTAAAGTGGATCAAATGGATCAAGTCGCTTGGATTCAGGCCGCGGCTGCTCTCCGCCCACAGGCTTCATGCATGAAACACTTTCATCGCGATGATATTCATCTGATAGTTGAGATGCACTCTTACAAAGATAACCCATTCCGAACAACAGCCACGTAACCTCCCTTTGGACAGAAGAACGTCCCTTCTTCGTTGATCAGAGCTGTCTCTAACGAGCTCGTATCGAGCCAATCCCGCGGCAGGAAGAAATGCTTTTGCATGCCATCTATACCGCTGTCTAGATCCCAAGTACAAAGCTGATTGTCGTGGTCTAAGTATGCGACTCTTCCTTTTGTGATACCTACTAGTCGTTTCGCGCGTCGAGCGAGTTCTGGTGTGCATTCTGGTCTAAAGGACGCGATTCGTGATTCGATTGTGCGAGACATTCTTATCGCTTCCACATGGAGACCAGAATGAGAGAGTTGCGATACGACTCCCTGATAATGGCTCGCTGGTAGAGTGCCGTACAAGATCTGTCCACTTGATGGGACGGCTTCCGCCCACACCACGACCTTCTCGATGTGATCATGCTTTTGCGGCTCTGAACACTCTTCCGGTTCTAGTTCCGGCTCGGATTCGATCGCAACGCTGACTTGTATGCTCATTGTAGACCATTGGTAGCTTGTTAGTAATTGGGGCTCAAGCCAGATGAGTGACGCCATATCTAGAGGATCCTGTACCCAACAGCGGCGCTGTCTGGATCCCCAATCCTTGAACCACAGCCGCTCCTTTGATCGTGTGTCGTATAGCTGATCGGTTGATGACGTCGATATCAGCAGATATTGCTCATCTGGACTAAAGACGAATTGATGTACGGGTTCTGACACCCGCGCATCTAGCACCGGGTAGACGCGCCACTGGTCCTTGGCCTTCGATTCTAATCGCTTTGCGATGACGCGAGCAGAGTCGTCGCTCGATACCATGTATCGCCCGGATGGTGACCATTTCATACAAAGTACGGATGTGGTCGATGAGTGAGTGTAGACTTTGCGGATTGGGGTACCAATTGCAACTTCGTGGATGATAACCGAGCCATCGTCCCTCCCGCAACAGTAATATGCATCAGATCCGCTACTGGCAATCGCCGATACGAAGGCCTTGGTATTGTCGATCTGAGACATGGTCGGCTCACTAGAGACCAAGCTTAGTTCATCTAGGCTGGACTCATCCTCCATGTCGTGCTCATCGGGGCGAACGAGAACGTCTGGCTCCCAGACGTTACATACCGAATCTCTCACATCATATAGCCGCTGACCATCTGGGCTAAATGCCACGTCCCTTACGAAGTCGTTGACGCTGCCAAGCTGGTATATCAGAGAAAGGCGCGGAAAAGCCCACACGCTGATCGTCCCACTGTGATCTGACGTGAGTAAAAGACTGCCTTCAGAATTGGTAGCAATCTCGCGGGCTTTCAGGTGAGGATAAGCAAGTTGCTGATCATCAAATAGTCGCCATTCTACCAAGTCGGCATTTTGACAGATAATGAAGAGCGAACCGCCGTCGACTTGCCAATGAAGATCTTCTGGGCCTAGAAGTGATGTTATAGACGAGCGGAGCCGGCGTATCCGAGCTGGTTGGAGCGCAGTAGCTTGGAAGTGCCAGATCAGAGGCACTTTGCCACGCCAAGCTATGGCGACAGCGGTCGCGGCTGGGTTGATTGCCATAGCTGTGGGGCAACCATTGTACTCTTGACTTGGCGATTCGAATACAAGATGCTGCACTATGCTTGATGTCGAAAGATCGTATACAGTGATAGAGCAGTCGTCAGACCCAATGACTAGATGCGCGTCGTCGTTGGCGAAAGATATGGCGATGATTCGTTTCGTCGTTAAGTTGTCAATTCGCGACGTCAACCGACCAGACGATAGCTCCCATACCGCGCAATGGCTGGGACTTGCTGTCGCCAACAACGTTCCACTCTTGTTGAGTTTCACCACCGCCACGTACTCACCTACTTCGATTTGACGTGCTTTCTCACATGTTTCAGTATGCCACACAAGGATTCTACCGATAGTGCTGATCAACGTGACGAAATATGAATCTGTAGCCAGTACCTGCGAAGCAATGTATTCGTCGCCTACGCTGACACGAGCTAGGCGATCGTCCCAGCCATCGGAAGGAAGTCCAGTAACTGTGAGCTCTCCCGCTTTGCGCTCTCCATAGGTAAGAGTGAACATCGAACCTTTCGGACAGAAAGGTATGATATCTCGGTAGATTGCCGGTGGTTTCGCTAGGAGAATGAATCCAAATTTACCAACAAGTCTGATGAGATCGATTGCCCATGACTGCAGCCACTTTGGATCATCCTCTGGTAATTTTGTCAGGCTGTCCAACACGGGAGACGAGTCTTTGTGCATTCTAGCGTGCTTTTTCCTCTTTGCATAAGCTTTCAGATACCTCGCTGATCTCGTCAAGTAGCGTAGGTTTGCGGACAACGCGATAGCCTCAATCCACGAGAGACAGTATGAAGAGAAGAACATCTTTAGTGCGTTTGTGATTTCTGTACTTGCCGTTGGGGATTTAGAAACATGATATGCCCAATAGCATGTAGCATAACCCAACAGAGGAGCACCTTGTTCGGCTAGGAGAAGGCGATTGCTCCGAATGCCTCGTTTCGGATCAACATCGGCTATTGATATTGCACGGAATGTTCGAGGCCAAGTATCTTGGGACAGGTACCCGAGACAACGTTCCGCAATCTGGAGATGGGCCTGGCGAGGTTGAATGAAAGCGATTCTGGTAGCTTGATTGGTTGTAAGAAACTGGCGGGCAGTGTCATGGATTAAAGATATTTTACCATTGTCAGTAGTGACAAAGTGTGCACAGATCTGATTGACGGTGTCTTCAAGATTCAAAAAGCCGGTGAATGTAGGTTCGAGAGCAAGCTGTAACTCCTCTAGTCTTAAGGGGCGCCAGCTGCAACTGACCCATGATAGTAGCATGTGTGCGAGGCTTTGAGTCTTTTCAGGCTGTGAAAGGAGCTTGGCTAGCATTTGTTCGTAAAGACCCACCATGCCCGCTGGTAGTCCGGTCAAGGCCTTATCAATGTCATCTCGGGTATGACAGCTTTGGCGGAGGGACTTCAAGCAAAGACGAACCCAGAGGAACGATCCGGAAGCTTTTGCCAGTATCTTGTCGACAATGTCTTGTTGAACAGTCTCGGCAGCTGCCAAGATATCGCGTATGGAAGTGGCCACATATGCTCGTATGTCTCTCGCTGTATCGGTTTCTGCCAAGAAGCGTACAGTGACCGGAGATCCTTCGCCCTTAGTTGCAGTGGGTACCTTCATGGGCCTGCTGCTCAGGAAGACCTTGATAGTGGTGGTCGACCGTATTCTCAGGAGAGAGTTGATGACTAGTGAGTGCAAATCGGCCTCATCTATTCCGTCAATTATCCAGAATAGTGGCTGTGTGAATGCAATCTTGAAGATAATGCCTTCAAAGACCTTCTCCCATATCGTGCGAAAGTTTTGATCTTGCGAAGTGAACTTGATGCCAGTTTCATCATGGAAAGAGAACAAGGCTTCTCGGAAAGGTTGGCTCTTTTGAGCAAGCTGCGAAGCGATGCTACGAAGACAGTATGCGGCAGTTCGTTTTGTCTGGTGTCCTGTCGAGAAGAAATGATGCTGACAGCTCGCTTGTTGGTCCTTCAAGTGATGTGCCACCATACTGGAAAGAGCCGTCTTGCCGCTCGCGGGTAGTCCGAATAGCCAAAAGACCGGAGCAGCTCGGTCACCCACTGAGCTTTTCCAACGTGTGAAGTCCGACTTTTGTAAAAGCCATTGGCCGGTCCCGTCCATAATCCTGCCGTGTCTGGATTTGAGATCGTCTTCAGTATCTTCGTGGACGCCCAGAATTGCGGCGATCTTTTGGCTGTCTTCGATGCGATCGATGACATCGACAGCAGGCGCTGTCCATACATCAGCACTTCTGAATTTTGCAAAGATGCAACGGCATGAGTCATACCTTCAGCTGGTGAAGCCTCTCTAGCAAAATGGCTGATCGTGTTTCTCACTCTTACGTACTGAGTGTCTGTAGGGCTCTTGAACTTGCATATGGTGTGGTGGTTTGCGCGTAGTGAGCCCGACATTTCTCCGGGTAACTGAAGGACAGCCGAATCTTTCTCCACGATCTGTGGGCGTCAGTCCAGGATCACAGCATGAAGAAGGGGGGCGACTACCATCGCATCTTTGAGTCCGATGCTGGTCTTCTCTGTTTCGAAGTATGACATCAAGGCAAGGTCATGACAGTGGTGACGGAACTGCTCGTTGATTTCGTGAAGGGCATTACTGTGTAACTGGAGCTCAGCGACATAGCTTTTCGATGGTGGGCCCAAAGGAAGGCTTGCAAGGATATTGTTCAAGGTGGAGGCCGACTGCGCCCCGCGGTGCGGAGTTGCGAGGAAGATGATGCCGTGAAACGAAGCCGCGATGTCGGCGAATTGCGAATCTTGTATGCCCAGCAGATATGCCTTTTTGACCACTAAGCCACCCATCGAGTGGGCAATGAAAATGATCTTTTTGGGCTTGATAGCACTCCCGTTCGAGCTTGTGAAGGTCAAAATCTGAAGCAAAAGGTCTTTCGCGAAGTCGGAGATATTGAGATTAGCTCCTGCTCCTCTCCAATTCGAATCGTAACCAAACGTGAAGACCCTCCATGTTGACAATGCTCCTTCATGTTCAAGCCAGCTAGGCCAGAAGTTGTTCAAATCGCGCTCCCAGCTCCATGTGGTCCATGGGTGACCTCCCAAGCCATGCACAAAGACTATATCGCCGCTTGGTTCAAGCCGATCGGTCACGAGATGTAGTCCCAAATCGTCGCGGGATCGATGGCTATGGGCTATCGGTCTGCCGAGGACACCTGCATTGAGTGTGCTTGTGGTCGATATCAACGAACCGCTTCTATAGGGTACGCTGGCCTTGAACCTGGAGGAGGCTATAGAGGTATCTTGCCCGCTGTCGGTAGACTGGGGCTCCGTCCGGTGAAAGGTTGACTCGGTGTCTAGGCCGTCGTTGTCATCGCTTTCGGGTGTCGGCTCTGATCGCAATCGGAGCCTATGAAGCTTCGTCAATTTAGCTATCATGCACAAGGCTGAGATCAGATATGCTTACTACACTCGGCCTCGATGCCATCGAAGATTACCATGTGTCACTTAGCCACGAAGGCATGTGCAGCATGGAGGATAGCCTTGAAGAATGGTTGTAATGACTTCGCCATCGCATCCAAGGCTGTGAAATTGAGGTACGTCAAAGGATTTGAGAGGCTAATTAGTCAGGCCTCCGGGCTGCTTCCCAAGGTTGCAAGGACGGGAAGATAGCTGGCTCTGTGGTGCGGGGTACCCTCAGCTCGTGTGTCAGCCTCTCTGCCGTGCCGCATATGCATGCTCCTCTTGTGAGTGTGATCGAGTACTGTCGTCCAGCAATCCCCTCACCTATTGGCTATCTCTGTGCCCACCAATATAAGCCCACGCGGGTTGCGACATTTCGGCCAATCATCGTTCAGCGGCTATTCGGCGAAGGAACACAGCGCCTTCCACTGACGACATCGTCCGCTGCGGCGGCCCGTGCTTATCGAGGGAGGCTCACCCTACGCTCACTAGAAGCCTTCTCTCATCAACACCAGACGCTAAGACATGATGGGTACGACTGCGACAGAAGACGTCCACACCATAGGCAAGATCGCCATAGGCAAGGCGCAAGCGAACTTGGAAGAGACGCCAACCGAACCGTTTCTGCCACCGCAGGCCAGCGGCTCGTACAAGGTTGACGAACGGGTTGTCGCAGGTAATGTCGCAATAGCCGTTCATGTCCGGCACTTACCTTAGGCCAGCATTCCCTATTTCTGGAACTCAGGTAGCAGATGCATACAACTATGGAGAATCGCTGTGGGGTAAGACGGCCAAGCTCGTGGTCCGACTTCCAACGGGGGAGAATGACAACTACTTTCTGAAGGTTTGGCTGATTGTGGAACCTTGTGAGAAATTCGGGAACTGACGCCTCGGAGGTTGTAACTCTCGGAAAGATAGGAAGGCACATGTGCGAAGGCGAATACGAGTCGCTCAAAGCCATCTATGCCATCTCGCCCTCGTTCGTCCCCCAGCCATATGCCTGGGGCAAGCTCGAAGGGGCAGACGAGACATATTTCTTGCTTGCGGCTTTTCGAGATGTTGGTGAACAGGTAAGCGTGCTTCAGTATGGTTTCGTAGACCCAGATGCTAACCTTAGAAGCCCGCAGATCCGGTCAAGCTGGCTGCGGGACTCGCTGACATGCATCAACGGTCCGTCTCACCGACTGGCAAATTCGGATTCCATTTCTCGACATGTCATGCCCGAATTGCTCAGGCTGTCGATACATGGGAAGACTCTTGGTGTACCCTATATGGCCGACATCTAGGCCATGTCATGGAGCTGGCTAAGCCGATCCTCAATTGGCCTGAGTTCGACGTAGTATGCGATCTTACGCTCCAGAAGGTTGTACCCCGTCTTTTGTTGCCGCTCCAAGCAGAAGGTCGTGTGCTAAAACCGTGTCTCATCCATGGTGATTGTTGGGATGGGAACACCGCGATGGACGCTAAAACGGGTGAGGCTTTCGTGTTCGATGTCTGCTCCTTCTACGGGCACAACGAATACGACACTGGTAATTGGAGAGCGCCGCGTCATCGTTTGAGCAGTAAGGCATACATCCGGGCCTACAAGCGCAACTTCCCGGTGTCTGAACCTGTCGAGGACTGGGATGCACGCAACCTGCTATACTCGTTAACATTCAATATCGGCAACACGATCTACATCCCAGGATCCCAGCAACGCGAGGTCGTATATGACGATATGACCACGCTGTGCAAGCTCTTCTGCCCGGATCAGTTGAAGGCCGCTATGGAAAAACTCAAGAGAGATGCCGCTGGCGTCAAGAGCTTGCAATCGGGTCGCGCGAGGATTGATGAGGTTGTCGGTAACACCGAGGCGGGTGCGCAGGAAGAAGAAGAAGAGGAAGAAGAGTTGCCACTCTGATGGGTGTCTTGCCGCACCACCACGCGCCGGTCTGTACGCATGCATTACCCAGTGATACTGTGATGCACAGAAGCTTTATATCGTAATGAATGATGATTTTGAGATGACAGCGCGTATGTGTGTTGATGAGGTTCGGTGATGGCAGATGGCAGCCACGCGGGCGCGTTTTCGGCTGTCAACGCGTCATCAGGCGGCGCTACCAGCTTTTTGCTGACTAAGCAACCCCTTCGCTCCTTCGCAGCCCCTTTGAACAGCGACCAAATCATACTCATTCTTCATTTTTGTGTATCGCTCATTGTGAAACATGTCATGCCGTATGGGTATTCTAGCTCAATGAGATCAGTTGGCTCGTCTACAGAGAGCGGTCTGTTGATGAATCGTACATGAGTCTATCTTACGCGTGGTATCTGCAGGGGACGTGCGTCAAACATCGCGCAGAAGAAGTCGAGACTTGCATCTTAATGGGGTTCATGCGAGCGTCAACTAGACCTGGATTACACACTACTACTGCTTTGTCCTAGGATGGATTACGACCTCGGGATAGTCGTGTCCTATGACCTACGAACACACCCATATGTCATCATTCACCATCTACTCCGCGACGTTGATACCATACGCGGCATACGGAAATTCATCGAGACTAACCCTTAGCTCCGCCATAACATCATCCGATATGAGTCGACCGTCTTTAGCAGTGACAGGGCTTCTCGCGTCTCCTTCCACTGGCGTTCCATACTCAAGCACGGTACCATCTTCCTCCGTCCTCCCCATAAGAATATCCATTTCCCGCCCTTTACAAACCTCCGCAAGCCCAGGATGTGGCACCCAGACAACACGCATACCCGCCCTTCTCGCTGCCTCTACACCTGCTATTGAGTCTTCAAACACTAAGCACTCTGCAGGCTCCAATGTGCGCTCGCCGCGTGCTGTCTCAGCAGCGTTCAACCTCTTCAAAGCGAGCAGAAAGATATCAGGCTCCGGCTTCTTCTTGATATCAGACATCTCTGGATCATCGCCGAAGACATGGAAGGCTGGATCATCAAACGCCGCATTGATAGCAGGTATATGCGATGTCTTCAGTGCGAACTTTCGCTGACCCGCTGAACTCGCTAACGAAAGCAACACAGGCGGTAATGTCTTTGTTTTTAGGGTTGAGAGAAGACTTTCAACACCTGGAAGCACTTTACTGTTTTCGAAGAGATGTGTAAAACCTCTTTCTTTCGCAGACCATTCAGCTGGCGTGAGGGGTACCTGTGCCCAGTCTAGTAAACGCTTGGTACCCTGTACTAAACGTTAGCACGACGGGACAAAATGATAGGCCTGAGCAACACAGACCTTTGTGCCTCTGCTTTGCTGTGTCGCCTTGATTGCCCATGGGTACTCTGGTCTTCCATACTCGCGCAGTATGTTGTTGTAGATATCTGTGTAGATGTCTTCTGAGTTGATGAGCGTGCCGTCTACATCGAAGATGCAGGCGCGTACAGGTGGCAGCGAAGCCATGGGATCTACAGCTGATTGAGCGCGATCTGGGCGCTCTCTCTTGGCTTCAGTCGTGCAAGATGATCTGCTCCAAGGCTGGGCAGCTGAAGGACCCTGATCTGCCCGCGGGCGGACCTGAGCATTTACCCCGCGGTCACTAACCGCATCAGGAATAGTCGCCACGCAGCATGGGAAGTGAATACGCTTGACGGCACCGTTCAAGATGCGCGCCTTCTATCTCTGAGACTGCTAGCAAGTGGCTTGCAACTTAGACGAGATCTCCGACTGGGGATCAATTCATGGCAGCTGACTACCACGCCTAGTCGTAGTACTTACAGTCTAGTAGACTCTTACACGGGCCGCTCTAGTCTATCTTTCGCATCTGCCCCTCATCTCTTGCACAGCCTTCAGCTAGAGGTACATCGTCACACCAATGCGCTACAGCATATTCGGCTGCAGTAACCGAGTATCAAGGTCGGCGAGGAGAATGAATTTCGTGGCGAAGGATGAAGTTCGCGAATCCTCTGCCCTCGGCTTGCCAGCGAAGTCCACCTGAGGTGAGCATCCAATACACTACGATGGCGCCGCAGAAGTCAGCCAATAT